TTTGAGCTCGTTATTACAATTTGATGGATATAAATAATGTACAAATAATTTTATTTATTAAAGTATGGTTACAATTTAATTTTTGAAATTAACTTAATTACCAACCAAATTAACTAAATTGGAAACGAAATTAACTAATTAATGAACTAAATCAACTAAATTGGAAACCAAATTAACTAAATAATAAACTATAATACTAAATAATGAATTAATTTTCAAAAACATTAATTAAATTACATTATTTATATCTATCAAAAGGTAATGTTGTAATCAAACCAGTTTTAAGTCTTTTGGATAAATATGGATTACACCCAGTATGTCAATAAAGGGATTATGTGTAGATAAGAGTGCAAATTTGAACACATTTTGAGGTCCCTGGGTATAACAAAGGTTTATGAACAAAATTAATTATCAAATGAATTACCTTGACATCATTTTGCCCAAACCTTGGTCCCACAAACTCCTAGCCCTACTCGAACTTAATCTCCCGGATATTATTCGGTGCAATAGTCCTACTGGTGTAGACACTGCCATCTTTCATAATCTCCATTTCCCCAAATTGGCTTTTTATACGATTTATCACATCATCCGATAATCCTTTAAGTTAGTTAATTTACTAATCACTTTATTACATGAATATGTGGTGACACTAACCCATCTCTTTGAGGAATTCCTCCACATTTTCAGCTGAAGTCAGTCATCATTAAGATTAACACAAAAATAGATGTTTAGTCAATAACCAAAATGTTTTTTATAGCAATGACTTTTATATCACAACATTATGTAACCCATGTTTTTATCTAATTATCATAAAACACTAAATTCATTTATTTGCAATAAAGATATTTCACAGTATAAATTTATATTATAGTAAAAACATCTTAAAATTTATATTTTAAATATTAATAAAACTCTCGATAATAATTGCTTTTTAGATATGGATATTGTGAGCAATAAAAATTGAGTACAGTAATTATTATTAATATTACAAAATAATGTTATTATTGTACCATTAATTTCAATAAATAAATAATTAAAAGGAATAGGTATATTTATTTAAAAATTATAATGGGTATAAGATTTAATCTCTAGAACTAGAAATTATTCTGATGTTTATATTAAAATTATATTTTTAAAAATTATTGTTAGTTACTAGTCATTCAACTTTTAATATACTTTCTATAATTTGTGATCAAAACATGAATTAGTAAATTAAAAATTATTGTAATAGTAATTAAAAGATAATTTTGGCACTTTATCAACAACGTTTACGAGTTATTTATATTAATTTATATTTAATTTATATGAATTACACAAAAAATAAAAGCTATTTTAACAAAATTAAAACAATTATAGTTTATTGACTAAACATAGATAACAGCCCGTATACAACATTGCCGTCAGTGACTAGGCCTTCATGACCAGTGGGCTTCAAGTAATGGTAATTTGAGCGCGTGTTAGAAGTTGAGGAAAAGGGGAAATTATCAAAGTATGAGTTTATTGCCGTCCGACACCACTAATGACTAATAAAATTAAGAAATTTAGATGATATATTAATCTAGTAATAAATGCCACGTTAAGCAGGGTACCTTAACATTAGGCCCACCAAACCGGGGTCCCTCAAACTCCTTTCCCAACTCAAATGACACCTCCCGTGTATTGAGTGGTGTTACCGTTTTAATGGTGTAGACACTGCCAGCCTTACTAATATCCACTTCCTGTTTTTGATCCTTTATACGATTTATCATATCATCCGGTAATCCTTTAGTTATAATTATAAACTCATAATCACTTCGTAATAATAGTATTATATGTTTGGACACTAACCGAGCTCTTTGAGGAGTGCTTCAAAATTTTCAGCCGAAACCTGTTTGAATTTACCCGTGAAGTCAGTCATTGTTAAAAGTAAAAAGGTAACAAGTTAGTGTATTTTCAACAAGTTTTAAGACTTTATTACATATTTTCATTTATTGTAACTATTTATATACTGTTATTAAATTATTAAATGAAACCAATGGTTGTTATCTAATTATCACAAAACATTAGAATTACCTTGACATCATTTTGCCCAAACCTTGGCCCCACAAACTCCTTGTCCAACTCGAACTTATTCGGTGCAATAGTCCTACTCGTGTAGACACTGCCATCTTTCATAATCTCCATTTCCCAGATTGGATTTTTGTACAATTTATCACATGATCCGATAATCCTTTAAGTTAATTAATTTAATAATCACTTTATTATATGAATATATGGTGACACTAACCCATCTCTTTGAGGAATTCCTCCACATTTTCAGCTGAATTCTGTTTGAGTTTACCCGTCAAGTCAGTCAACATTAAAATTAACACAAAAATAAATGTTTAGTCAATAACCGAAATGTTTTATATAGCAATGACTTTTATATCACAACATTATGTAACCCATGTTTTTATCTAATTATCATAAAACACTAAATTCATTTATTTGCAATAAAGATATTTCACAGTATAAATTTATATTATAGTAAAAACATCTTAAAATTTATATTTTTAAGTTAGTGTATTTTCAACAAGTTTTAAGACTTTATTACATATTTTCATTTATTGTAACTATTTATATACTGTTATTAAATTATTAAATGAAACCAATGGTTGTTATCTAATTATCACAAAACATTATTTTCAGATTATAATTAAATTGATGTTTTATAGTAGGGTAGTTATTATTTTGAAAAACACACTTAACAAACCACATTATTAAAAAAAGCATTCTATTCATAATAAAAATATTTTTAATATAAACTCACCTTAACTGCAATTATCTATTTCTTGAAATTAATGAAATCAATAATTGGTTAGCGCAAAATTTAAGTGTTTCAACAATTTTCATACTTTCTAGCAAAGTTTTATAAGTGTTAATTTTAACTTATATAAAATTATTTTATTTGAGATAAATATTAATTATAATTGTCTGATTAAAATTCCCTACCTATTATACTAGAGATATTTTAATGAAGGGGTATAACTCCCCATAACTATCAACGCAACATTTCCAGACCTCTCCATTGCCCACACCTATAATTGCTATTAAAATAAGATATCATATTTACAATAGATATCCTCAATTTAATTAATTAGAGTTTATCGTGATTTTTATTGTGGTTGAACTGTAAACTAATAACTTAAATATATCTTTAAGATTTCAATTTATTTATTAAATTACTAATAAAAATATAATTCGTACAAAATTATAACAAAAATTGGTGCTAACATTATATGAGCGCTACAATATTCATCCTATTGTTTAGTGTAGACACCGGTAGCCGTGACGGAGGTGCCCACCACTGTAGCCGTCACCTTAAGCTCCGTACCATTGAGTTCGGTGACGACCTTTAACTCCTTGTTCTTCACGGGATCTTTGGTTGTCTTAATCAGTTTGTTGCCGTCGGCCACCACTACTGACTATATTCATACAGAATATTATATTAAAATACTATTGATAGGACGGGTAGTTTAAGTTGTTAAGTGCATACATTAACAGTACGGCCGTCCATTCGCTTCTCCTCGAACTCCTTTCCCAATTCAAACTTAATCTCTTGAGTACCGGCCGCTGATATGGACTTCTGGACGAACTCATTGCCATTTTGGGTGATCTCCAGGTCTTGGAGGGAGGCCTTCACTTTGTTGGCCACCTCATCGCTGGCGCCTGTAGTTTGCACACAAAGTAATATTATATTAGGGATGTCATAAAACTATAATATTCTTAATAACCAACTTATAATAACTAAGTTATAATATAATTTAGTTTAAATTGATAATAACTTTATGGTGTTTATTCCAGATAACTTACAGTATAATGTACAAGTACAATGTTTCCGTACCTGGTACAGTACTATACTGCAACAGTACAGAAACTATCTGTATAGTTGTATTAAATAGTGTATAACTTTTAAATTTAAAATAATATTTAAATAATTAATAGATAAAGAATTAAAATATAATTATAATTAACAAATTGAATACAAACCCAATTCCTTGAGCAATCCATCGGCGTTATTGGATGAGATCTGTTTGTATTTACCGCTGAAGTCAGTCATTATTAATGATTTGTATAAATTAAGTTTTTGTATAAACTTTGAGTTTAATTTGTATATACTTTTAGATTCTTGTTATTATTCTCACTCTAACTACCGGTCCTTATATACCCGTCATAACTGCCAACTCATAACACAGTTAAGAAGGTGTGGGTCGGATGTGTAAAGGTTTTGTAGTCCTGAGCACTAGAAATTTCTAACTTGATCAGTTTTGTATTAATAATACTGAATCAATATTAGTACATTTGTATTGAATTTGAGTACATGTAGTTCGTAGGTATTACATAACAAATAAAGTGATATAATAATGTGCTATACCACTGTATTATTATTCATAACTTTATCTATCTACACCAAATACCTCGTTTACATAGACCCAGATTAAAAATTTTATATCTAAAAATTTGATCCGTATTTTAGGTAATATGCAAAATAATGGTAACCATATTTTATTTTTAGAGTTTATATAATTTTAAGTTTGATAACTGTGACAATAAATTTATGCATGTTTATTATTAACGAGGTTTGACTGTACAAATATTATTTCTATGAATTGATCTACATCTATGCAATTATAATGAAAACCGTCTGCATTCACAAATAGTAAAGTCTAGCCGTTGTGTAGTAAATCAATCATAAAATGAGTGTTCAAAGTATTGTAGAGTATAACTGAAATCTTGATTATCTTTGCACCTTGATTAGAAACTAATTAGTTATAAATTGAAACCAGGTGGGTGTGTGCGTATTCCATGTACTTGAACCTTGATTAAGTGTATGATTATTTAATTTCACACCCATTACCAAACAAATAAAGTCAAGAATATTCTTAAATATTTTAAGTTGTGAATGATCTATTACTGTATTGAGGTTAACATAACATACATAACCATTCATATATAGGAATGGGGATTCATTTATTAGGAACCTTTTATTGTTATCATACATTTATTGTATATTAATACAATTATAATCCCGGCCTAAAATATTTATATAATCATAATTGATCCCCTAATACATATGAGAATGGTTATGCCTATTTGTTTGCCTGTATATGTGCTTGAGATTATTGAGCGCCAAAAATTAATATATTTGTCTAATCATAAGAACTACAGTAACTGCACTGTAATATTGATTAACTATACTATAGTAGAAATTCTGTTATCTAACGCTATTTTTACACATTACAGTATACAGTATCAAATTATATCAAACGGTTTAATGTTCAGTACAGGTGTATTTTATACTAGTAATATAGTAATATACACAGTTCAAGTGAAATTTCAATTTATGCTTATATCATACAAGTTTTAATTGATTTACAAAAATAATAGTTAAAATAAACGAAAAACAGTAAAATAACGGAAAAAGCACTCACACTTTTTTCTATTAAAAATGAAACTTTTTTTTGTGATAATTCCTGAAATTTATAAACGCTTCCTGATATTACCATTACATAAGTATATGTACTGTAGATGTACCAGAGATGCCTTTCCAGTTAATCATTTATTAATCACATAAAAAATATGTGTAAAAATATCTGAATTAAATGAAACTCTTAGAAACAGAATTTAATATAATTCCGGGAATTAAAATACATATACATACATTTTATTAATACATAATACAACTACTATTTTTAATACAACTGTATGCACGATAATTGTAATTCATTGTAATTTATTAATTTATTGTTATATAATACACTACCTGTACAAGTAAAGTATATTCATACAATTACAATGCAGTTACCCAGTACCCTACTGTACCAAATACTACCGGTACATTTAACTTTATTGCAATCCCTACTCATATTGAATGAAATAATTTTTATAAGTAAATAAGTTTCAATTCAATTGATTTCAAATGTGACTAACCATTAAAATAAATATTACTACTTCATTATAAAATACTATTGAAATTCCTTGAAATATGATCCGGGATATGTAATTCAATGACTGTATGCCTTGACTTTGAAACTCCTAACCTTGACATTGAAATTTTATTATTGAAATCTCTTATGCAATAAAAGTTTTATTTCCGAAACAAACTTTTTATTTCTATAATAAATGCATTATTTTAAAATAAAAACACAATAAAATACTTGTTTTGAAGGGAAAGGCTTATTTTTATTGAATATTTAGCTCATACATTGAGATTTTCAAAATATAAAATATAAAAATTATAATTTTATTTTTTCTGCTAAATATTTTTGAGTTCAATCGACTATTTATTGAGCAAAACAAATGTTTCTCCGTGTTTTAGGCCTACTTTCTAGCGTAGGTACGCACCGACACCACGGGGCCGGACGTGACGGTCACTCGGAGTTCATTACCGTTGAACTCGCGAACAATCTTCAGGTCCTTTTCGCCGCCCTTCTGGGTCTGTATGAGTCGGTTGCCGTCCGCCACCACTAGTGACTGATATATTGACAACAAATTAATTATTAAATAAAATATTAATCAGACATAAATTAACGCACATATCATGTAAAATTAAATTAAATTTAAATAATTAGTTAGACCGTGGTAAATATTTACAAAATAACGTAATTGCCTCGATTATTATCCACAAGTATTAAGAGTTTATCATTCATTAACTGTTAATTTATTTGAAATCTGATTTGACAGTCAGTGGTATACCTTAACAGTCTTTCCATCTTGTCGGGTCTCGTCGAACTCCTTTCCCAACTCGAACTTCACTTCATGTGTTCTGTTGGGTTGTATGGTCCGAGAGGTGTAGACATTGCCATCTTTGCTGATCTCTAGCTCCTGAGTGTTATTCTTCACTTGGCTTATGATCTCATCGCTCACTCCTATCAAAGTTATATGAATTGAGTTTTAGAGGGATTTATATATTTAAAACTTTATTTACCCTTAACGAATGTGTTTTGTGTATTTTAACTAGGTAATTATGAAATAATAATTTGTTAAAAAGATAATTATGCCTTTAATTGTTTGTGAAAAGTTGGCAATTTTATTTGTAGATCAAAGTTTAACAAGATTGTATGCACTGGTACTTTGGGTATAAAAATATAACGTCGAGTACATTACGTACTAATGCTATATGTTTTGGGTTTAAGAAATTATTTATTTATATTACACATCATCTAAATTAATTTACTAGAGTATTATATAATAATTATAGTTTATTTTCTAAATTGTGGTAATAAATTATTTTTATAAGCAAGTACTGTATCGGTATAATTTAATTGTTTTAAAAACGTTTGATATAAATATTGAGTGTTGTAAAAATGTGTCTGTACAATTGTCTGTACATTCAATCCATATCTATTGATAACATTTATTACATAAACAGAAGGACAGGGATGTGAATGGGTGTGCTTTATGTGTCGGTTTAAAAGTTTAGTTTTATAATCACATTATATCTAAAAATGTCATAAATTGATGTAAAAGTAGACAAATATGAAGGAATTATTCATTAATACACGTTTTGAAATATCCCCGGTTTGTCACAAACACACTTATTTATCAATTAAAATGAAATTTTGTTTATAAATTTCAGTCAAAAGTTTTTATACATTTTTATGATTTCATTCATCAGTGAGTTTGACAGCAGTATATAAACAAATAGATATTTTATGCAAACATTATGTCTAAATACGGTACAAGTAAAAATATTTTTAAAATTGCATTATAAAGAATTTACAAAATCATACAATAATACATTGTCTAAAAATCAAATCTAATATATTTGCACAGGAAACTTTTATATTCAACTGTATAGTAAAACAATTTCCCTTTTATCAATATACTAGGAATAAGGAAATATATTTTTAAAACTGACTTCACTATTACAAAACTATATTATAATTTATAAAGTTAGTTGCTAACATTTTTTGGTTTAATTTAATTACTTATTTCATACATTGTTCAGTATATGATTTTATACTAGATCCAATAAAGAATAAAAATATTGGGCGATACAACTAAATAAGTAATGAAATAGTTATTTGTTAACTGACCGAGTTCTTTAAGAAGGGCATCAAAGTTCTCCGATGAGACCAGGGTGAATTTACCGGTATAGTCAGTCATTGTGCTGGTTGTAAACTAAGTATAATAACATAATAAATAACATATTTAGTTAAATCAAAAATATTTAAGAGAATAATCATCATAAAAGTATAATACAAATATATTTTACTTTTTAGTAAACAAACACTGTTAAGTCACTGCAAATGTTTTACTCAATAAGTCGAAATTGTTTGCAAAGCTACTTAAATACCCGAAAAAATAACATTTATATATCATTAGTAGTAAAAATTATACTGAAGGTAGGAAAAGGGTCACAAAATCATGAATGCACTAAACATTTAGTAGACGTTTGTAATTTTAATTGATTATACTTTTTGATATTATATAATACATGTATTGTATAAATATATGTTTGATATCTGATTTATTACCTATTTAGGCTATGGGGTATATATGAGAGTACTGTATATTTTGTACTTAATTTAGAAAATTATGTACTTGATTGGGAAGCTTTAAACATAATTTTAGTGTATCATAAATAAATTATATTATTATTAAAGGAATAATTAAATTACAAGTTATAAATGATAACTTATAATTTATAAACCCATATCACTAATAGCCGGTTCCTTGTTTATACTAGTTTATAAATTAGACTTATGGTTAGACATTTAGTCTAACATGGTACCTCAAATAATTAACTAACAAATGTAACAAATTATTACAATTGTCTAGATTTTAAGTAAAGTATAATTAAATTATTTATAGTAATTTATAGTTTTTAAAGAAATAAAATTAATTTATTGTGTTAAATTTGATAATTTTAACAATGTGTTAATTACACTTCAAATAATAATTTAAAGCAAAATAAATTTAAAAATAGTTAAGAATTTATAAATTAAGAAATGCACTAAACTTTAAGTGCTATAAAATTTTATATTAACTGGTCTGTGATAAGTAAGATAGAAATCCGGTGAGTGAAATTTGTACAAATAACAATTTTTAAAATCTTTTGTACTTACGGCTTTTGACCAGGGAGCAACCATTCGCTACTTTGTCTAGCATCCTCAGGGTCATATGATTTTAACCATGTTTCATCGATTGCAATTATTTTATCTAGAAAACCAGATTCCTTTTGATACCTTGCAAGATGTTTTCCCGCAATATTATGTCGTGCTTGTTTTTGTCGTTGTATGAGTTCGTGGGATCCACCTTGACTTTAATTTTTTTGCCTTTAATATTGTTAATAAACTCGTTTTTGGTATTCCGGCTTCATACAAAAGGTCGTTTGTTCTCATACCATCACTCTCTAGAATAAGTTGTTTTACTTGTTCTTTCATATCTTGTCGTTGTCTCACGTGGTCTACCTGAACGAGGTAAATCACATATCTGTGCGGTTTCCACCTTTAAAATCATTATACCAATTATACACCGATTTTTCATTCAAATATGTTTTTGGCAAAGCAGTTGCTAGCTGACTGGCAACTACCCTTGGAGAGGTATTCAACAACACACATATCTTTATAAACGCCCTCTGTTCTTCACGTAAAACACTATCGCGAAGTTCTTTCAAATTGAGCAAATCGGGGGCATTGACATTTTTAATGCCAAAAATAGAAGGATTAATTTAACAAAGTGATACTCCATTATTACGCAGTAGAAAAACAACTGAACATATATAAACATTTACTAAAAATATAATCTAATAGATAAGAAGTTATTATAGGATTCAAAGTTTGTAAAGACTTTCCGTTCAATGTAATATAAATGTTTTCGTGTATAAGTAGCTTTGCAAACAATTTCGACTTATTGAGTAAAACATTGCAATGACTTAACAGTGTTTGTTTACTAAAATGTAAAATATATTTGTATTATACTTTTATGATGATTATTCTCTAAATATTTTTGATTTAACTAAATATTTTATTTATTATGTTATTAGATTACAACCAATACAATGACTGACTATACCGGTAAATTCACCCTGGTCTCATCGGAGAACTTTGATGCCCTTCTTAAAGAACTGGGTCAGTTAACAAATCACTATTTCATTACTTATTTAGTTGTATCGCCTAATATTTCAATTTTTATTGGCCCTAGTATAAAACCATATACTTAACAATGTATGAAATAAGTAATTAAATTAAACCAAAAAATGTTAGCAACTAACTTTATAAATTATAATATCAATTTGTAATAGTGGTTATTTAAAAAATATATTTCCCTATTCCTAGTATATTGATAAAAGGGAAATTGTTTTACTATACGGTTGAATATAAAAGTTACCTGTGCAAATATATTAGATTTGATTTTTAGGCAATGTTCTATTGTATGATTTTGTAAATTCTTTATAATGCAATTTTTAAAATTTTTTTTATTGTACCGTATTTAGACATAATGTTTGCATAAAATATCTATTTGTTTATATACTGCTGTCAAACTCACTGATGAATCAAATCATAAAAATGTTTAAAAACTGTTGACTGAAATTTATAAACAAAATTTCATTTTAATTGATAAATAAATGTGTTTGTGACAAACCGGGGATAGTTTAAAACGTGTATTAATCAATAATTCCCTCATATTTGTATACTTTTACATTAATTTATGACATTTTTAGATATAATGTGATTATAAAACTAAACTATTAAACCGACACATAATGCACACCCATTCACATCCCTGTCCTGTTTACGTAATAAATGTTATCAATAGATATGGATTGAATGTACAGACAATTGTACAGACACATTTTTACAACACTCAATATTTGTATCAAACGTTTTTAAAACAATTAAATTATACCGATACAGTACTTACTTATAAAAATAATTTATTTCCACAATTTAGAAAATAAACTATAATTATTATATAATACTCTAGTAAATTAATTTAGATGATGTGTAATATAAATAAATAATTTCTTAAACCCAATACATATAGCATTAGTACGTAAAGTACTCGACGTTATATTTTTATACCCAAAGTACCAGTGCATACAATCTTGTTAAACGTTGATCTACAAATAAAATTGCCAACTTTTCACAAACAATTAAAAGCATAATTACCTTTTTAAAAAATTATCATTTCACAATTACCTAATTAAAATACACAAAACATATTCGTTAGGCGTCATCTATAAAGTACGTACGCAAAAATTTGGTCAAAAATTGACCCCCCCTCCCCCCTACACGCCCATCGTACATAGGAGTTTAACATGGGGACATACGCTTTGGCATGACCCCCCCTCCCCCATAGGCGTGCGTATGTACTTTGTGAATCACGCCTTATGCATTCAATTACTAGATTGTCATTTCACAAAATTGTTTTCATTGCTGATTATTAATTAATTTAATGGGATGAACGGGTAGAGCACCGGGAGGTCATTGCTATTTGGGGGCAGTCTGTCTAGGCTTAGGGTATAGTGCATGCGATCCATCACTCGGATCCAGAAATGTGTTTATTTTTTGCATCGAGTCTTACGGCACATGAGATGCTTATATCGTAAGTAACTGAGTATTTATGGCCAGTAATGAGTGGATAGCCTCTAACTAACGGCGCCCTAACAAAAATAATATACATGTGATATATCAATAGTTACCGGTATATTTTGCCCAATAATTTAAAAATATATATAACAAAAAATAAAAGTTTTATATTTCACAAACGGATGTACGTTTAATTAAGTTGTTATTGTAACATTATATACATACCAAAATAAACTTCAAATTTTGGGATTCAATATAAAACATCAGGGTATTTGCGTCAAGCATACCATGTTTTTTAACTAAAGTAAGTTTTTTTTATGTATAATAAGTTTTATTTAATACTTTTAATTATTAACATTTGTAACTTTCAAAACGTATTATTAAATTACTTTTATTTGCGACAATGATTGACGCAAGTACCCTGATGTTTTTGCATTGCATTATTAAAAATTTATCTAATGTTTCAATAACAACTCGGTGAAATATAATATTTTAAAACATTTCTATGCATACAGTTGCTCAAAAAAAACATGTTATAATACAGGTCCCATGTACTATGCTGTTTTTCATTTGCTTATTTATACAAACATAACAGTAATATATAAGAAATAATAAAAGGACATTGACGAGAAAAATAGGAGTTCATTAGATGCATGTGTTTAGATTAGGCTAATTGATCTAGGTTTTAGTTCATTTCACAATTAAGTCTCGTTATCTGGCCTTTATTTCCTTAAAATGCACTTTCGGTGCAGAAATATATAACACAACAAAAAAAACAATAATCACTCGATTTAATGGATTCACACAATTCTCTATGTATATACCAGTACTACAACAAATAGACTACCAGTGCTCCCGAGTAGTCCGGGGCTCTGAGTATTGGTTATCGTGTTTTGTAAATACAATTGAACTAAAAAACTAAATCAAATGCTTTTATTGTGTGACAGACATACTTAATTCATTTTTAGCGTTAAACATAAGTTTTTCATACAACTATTCAACACTAGTTATTTATACCTTTATAAGTTTTAGTCAAACATTACAAATATAACAGGTGAAAAATATTAAAAGTTTGTTAAGCATAAAATGAGCATATATCAAGTTTAACTTATGGTATACAAATGAATGTAGTTTTAAAGGTGTGCTTTACGATTATAAACATTGAATCTAAAAATTGTTTGAACATTAATGTATTAGTAATTTTAAATTTCTATTAAGTTTATTGTGACATAAATAACTAAGGCTCTTAAAAATTTATAAATTTATCAAGTATAGGTGATTAGACTATTAGTGTATCATCCCTATTTTGTGGTGATTTTAGCTTTTGGAACTCAATGCTAAACACAATAAATTTATAAAATAGATATAGTTATTTGATTTTGACAATTATTTTAATCAAGAACCATTTAATACTCTCATTTACATTAGTTCGATTTAATTCTAATAATTCTAGTATTAATGACTAATTTAAACGGTTTATTAATTTGTCAGTTTTACACATTTCTATTACCATCTCATCTCCCGTTCCCACAGTGTCTCCAAATCCGTTCCCATCCACTCATCCCTAACCCTCTCATCAACCAAATCGCTTTCATCTCTCGACATAACAGCCCTCCAGTCGCCGGCCATACCTTTCCGAAAGTGTTCCGTCATCTCATGATTACTCTTCATGACCTTAAAACTGGTCTCTCGTATAATGCGATCCAATAGGATGTCATCACTGCTACCGGTGCCGTCCCCTCCATCATCGCAGCGGTCATACAGTCGGCGAACGTATTTGGTGCCCAAGAATGAGGCGATTCTCACAATACTGTCCCTCGGATTCGCTACCATCTCCTCATAGGTAATGACCGTACAGTTGCTGTCCTCCCGGTGCTTCCAATTAGACTTAATCGCCTCAAAACAGTCGCCGTACGGGAAGTGCTTTCCGGTGATCCACAGCTTAAAGAAGTCGTGAAAATCGAGATCCGATGGAAAGTTGTGTTTCGCGTCATAATAAGAAGAAACGACAACGTCTTTCGGATTACGCAAAACCATCAAATACTTGGCACCGGTATTGTAGGCCAAGTGTGTCATGCTAAGGTGCGTCGCGTGAAACCGAAAGTGCTCACCATCCCTGTCCACCACCGGGTTCATCGCTATGTCATCCACCAGTTCATTGAGGTCAGAGAATTCAAGAAAAAATTTCAAATACGTATCGCTCGGTATATGTTGGCCGACGTGAATGACTCCCATAATGTACAGCACAATATTACATGCCCACACGGTTCCGGATTTAGGGTGGACGCTCAATATGCAATCCCCGGGCAAAGGGTGGTAGTCGAGCGCGTATTCAAAGGATATTGGTATATTCCCTGGTAGCTTAATAAATTTTAAGCCACGTACAACACGAATATATTTGTCCATGTTGCCAATCTGTGTTATAAACCGTATAATATTTAAGCAATTGTATTTACCTCAGTTTATGTATGATACAGTAATTACTGCTCATTAAATATCAAACAAATTAAACTGTCAAGCTATAATGTTAAAATAAAATTTTTCAAATAGTACTTTAAGCAAGATATTTGTTATTTT